TTATAATTTTAATATATAAACTTTTTATCATAATTACATAATAAAAAATAATTATTTTTTATCCCTTATATCATAGGACTTAAATTTAAAATCTTTTATTTCTAACCAAAAAAAAGATAATTATTAAATTATTTAAATTATTGATAATATATAATTTAAATTGTAATACATAAATTTCTTTAAATAATTTTGAAAGCACTATTTCTATTTTTTGAGACCATAAAGCAAAAAAGAAAAAGAAAAAACCTTTATGAAACCAAGAACAAAGGTAAAGATAAAAAGATTTCTAATTTGAAAATTGAAAAAGAGTACACATATTTCTCTGCTATTTCCAAAGCCGATCTTCATCTTTTAGAAATTTGGTAGAATCTTGACCTTCACTTTCTCTCTTTCTCTCTCTCTCTCTCTCTCCATTTCCCCAAAAAGTCTTCGTCTTTGCAGCGATAAATCCTAACCCTAGAGGCACTGCCAAACCACCACCACCACCACCCATGGCACCACCGACCTGGTTGTGGACTCTCTCTGCAGCCACCACAACTCTTCTAACTCTGATCCCCTTGGTGTGTGGCAACTCCGAAGGAGACGCGCTCTACACCTTGAGAAGGAGCTTGACCGATCCGGATAACGTGTTGCAGAGCTGGGATCCGACGCTTGTTAATCCCTGTACCTGGTTTCACATCACCTGCAACCAAGACAACCGCGTTACGAGACTGTATGCAATCTCTCCCCTTCCCTCTCTCTACCTCACGACGATCTGTTGCTTTTTCCCTTGAATTCTCGTGTTTTTTACTTGGGTTGCTTTACTTCTTGTGATGATACTTAGGTTCAATTGGGTTCTTTTACTGAATTTAGCGTCTGTTTTTATTTAGACATGTTTTGGGGGAAAAATGATGAATTGATTGGAACTGTTGAATTAGTTTAGCACGTACGATTAAAGTTAATCAATGTTTAGCAATTATTAGAAATAGGGGCCCTAAAATGGCGATAAAGACCCAAAACCATGGTAACTGTTGGGGGGTGGGGGGTGGGATTAGAAATAACTATACCTTTTGAACATGATTTAGTTGCTCTACATATCCCTTATGTGTATTGGGATCATATTTAGCTGTTGAACTTCTCATATATTGTGCTGGTTTTTTTATGACTTTTGATTGATGAAGAGTGGAAATCCAAATTTCTTGATTTGCTATTTCTTTCTGGGTGTATGGTGAAAATTTAGATTTTCCGAGGGAAACTATGCATGATGGAGTCCTACTTTGGAAACGATTATCCATTAATTGAAATTTTTTGGGTGATTCTGATATCTTAATTTAAATTAAACTATGATCTTTCTTGCAGGGATTTAGGTAACTCAAACCTGTCTGGACATTTGGTACCGGAACTTGGAAAGCTTGAGCATTTGCAGTATTTGTATGTTCATTAACTCGATCTTCTTTCCATCTTTTGTTTTGATATTTTCTTTCCTGTTAATGTGTGAAGCTCTTGCAAATGTTTGCATGCTCTATTTTGATATATATATATATATAGATTGAAATGCTTGCTTATTAGATATGGAGAGTGCTTGTCTTAAAGTGCTACTCGATATTGGTTATGATTTCTTGTTGATGTTCAGCTATTAAATTGAGAACCTTTACTCTTTCACAATTCAGGGAGCTCTACAAAAATAATATTCAAGGAACTATCCCTGCTGAGCTTGGCAACTTGAGGAACCTTATCAGTTTGGATTTGTATAATAACAACATCTCGGGGACAATTCCTCCATCAATGGGGAAATTGAAGTCACTTGTCTTCTTGTGAGTTTCTTAAAGCATAAATATTGTAGTCTTTTATTGTTAATTTTTCCAAGTTTGCATTATCTTTTAGGATTGGTTTGAAGAATGAATCAGATAATAGATTTACCTAGAAGTTTGAATTCAGGGTGTAGGAGTAATAACCTGATCAATCTCATGGGATGTCCCTTGGTGCCACTGAGATTAGGTTTCAGTTTCATCCTCCACTGATTGTTCTCATATTTTAGACTGAGTGTCTAGCTTAGTAGCTATTTCTGGCCCTTTCTCACAGCTAACTAATTTATATAGCATGGTGACCTCCGTTTGCTGCTCCATACCTGATCATTGTTTGATTTGACAGGCGACTAAATGACAACCGATTGACTGGGCAAATCCCCAGGGAACTTGTTGGCATTTCCAGTCTCAAAGTTGTGTAAGTTATCTATGGTAAATAAAGTAATGGTATTACTTTCTGCCGTGGTAGTATTATAGTGATTGAAAATTTGGCTTCTTTCCCCAGGGATGTCTCAAAGAATGATTTGTGTGGAACAATTCCTACCAGTGGACCATTTGAGCACATTCCTCTCAACAAGTAATCTCTTTCTTTCTCTCTTTATCTGCCCCCACTAAATGAATAATTTTCTCTCTTTGGTTAATTTCCAATTGCCATGTAGTTGTTGTTTACCCAGCATAAACATGTTTATGCATAAGTTCAGATTTGTGACACTTAAAAGGACACTTGTATATCTTCTACCTTGCTTATGATGGATTCTAGGATTGGTTTCTTCTTTTTATGTCTTATTTTTTTTTGGTTTATCTTTTGCATTATAAATTACAATTGTTATTATTTTGCTGTAACCAAATTCTGTGTTCTTCTATACATATGAAAGTAAATATGTAATTTTTTTTACTTTAGTATTTTGTTCCATCTGCATCTTTGTCATGAGCTAAGAATCTTTTTGTAGCATACAGTAAACTGCATTGTTTGGACAAGGGCATTGAACAAACCACCCTAGTATATGACATTTGGTACTATTATGTTTTAGAAAACAATGAATTATATTCAGTTGATTTTTTTTCAATAGAAGAGCTATTCGTGGTAATTTTATGCTAGAACCTGGCCTGCTGTCACTGATGGGCATTATGCACGTCTTATCTCTTTTACTCTTTATGGTGCACCATGAAGGATCGAGAGTTGTTGCTTTCTGTTCCCTGCTTACTATTATCAATAGCTAATAAATAGTTCTGGTTTGCTGGGGCCAAAGTAACTCTTCTTTATTTTGTTCTGATGTATTATGTAGCTTCGAGAATAACCCGCGACTAGAAGGTCCAGAGTTGCTTGGTCTTGCAAGTTATGACACAAACTGCTCATGAAGAAGAGAACGTCGCTGCAATGTCATGGCTTGGATTATGCACTCACCCAAAATTAGAGTGTATTACCTCACAGTATAAACAGGGATTGATCAAAAGCAGTCCCTCATATAAGTGTTTGTAAATCTTAATAGCTGCATGGATGTATTAACATTTATAACTGCATTGCCCCGCTCCTTCAGTAATGTTGGAGACACAAACTTGTTGCTGTAATGCTAGCTAAGATTTTACTTATGGTGTGAATCCTTTGTTTCCCGGCTTGCCTTGTATTGTAGATTCATACTGTTTCGTTAGTTCTCTTTATTCATCTTATACATCATGAATCACTCTGTTTTGTTGCAGTGAATACTTCTTGATTTTTTGTGTTAACAATTAAAAAGTTAAGGGAGGACAGGTGCTCTTTTACCTCAAGATTAATTCTTGATTTTTTATTAATTATTATTATTTTTTGAGCTGGTGCAATCGGGATACTTTTTAGGAGGAGGCAGGTGGACTCAAAGGGCATTGAACCCCAGTCTGGTGGACATGGGGTGGACAGCCGCAGGGGGTCTCGGGCACCTACTTAGTTGAAAACCTACCGGTTGAGGGTAATTCATTATCAATTTGTTGTTTTATAATTTAAATTGTAAAATAAGAATCTTTTAACGAGAAGAGAGACCAAATATTAGGAGCCTTGTTTCTGATTTATGGGGTATTGTTCTACGGTTCAAAATGGTCTGATTTAAGCATTATTGCTTTATGGTTTAGAACAATTTGACGGTAAAGCAAATTTTCCATTCACCATTTTGGGAGGTAGGTTATTTTAATAAGGTTAAACATTAATTTTAGTCTTTCAATTTTAAAGTTTTGCATAATTTTCATTTCTTAATTCTTTATGCACTTTGTCTCTTATTTATGAAAAATAATTTTTTTTAATCTTTTCATTAGTTTGTCTATTAAGTTTATCTAAATATATATATTTTTAATCCCTTAATTTAAAATTGAGGGATGAAAAATATGTATATATTAAAAGTTGAGAGATAAAATGTATAAATTTAGATAAATTTAATCAACAAACTGATAGAATGATTAAAAAATGTAATTTTCATATTTAAGGGACTAAACAAGTACATAAAAAACTAGGGGATGAAAATTATATAAAACCTTAAAGTTGAAGGACCAAATTAGAATTTAACCTTGTAATGGAGAGATAGGTTTTCCGAAACTATATTTATTCTTGTTTTTCTGAAAAACTGTTTACATCAGCGTCAGGATGGCCGAGTGGTCTAAGGCGCCAGACTCAAGTTCTGGTCCTCGAAAGAGGGCGTGGGTTCAAATCCCACTTCTGACAACCTGAACCCCCCACTCCATTTTTTTTTTCTTTTTCGAGGTGGAGTCACACCAATATGCCATGATTTGCTTACAATAATTCACAATACGCAGAATATACAAATTCACCATTAAAATATAGTGACAAGATGAATTCATCTTTGAATAAAAAATAAAGAGAAATGTATTTATAAAATTTTTAATTTGAATAAATCATCTTAAATTCAATGTATGATGTTATCTGACATCAATAATTTGTTAATTTAATATTATTTAATATTAATAATTTATTAATTTATTAACAAATTACTGATATTAAATGATGTCATACGTTAAATTTAAGATAATTTATCTAAATTAAAAATTTTATAAATAAATTTATTTTTATTTTTTATTTGAAAGTGAATTCATCTTTGTTATTATACTTTAAAAATAAATTTAGATATTGTACCCACAAAATACCTGCTTTTGACTTGGAGGAAAAGACAGAAAAAAGAGAAGTGGCTCTTTTATCAAAGTTATTTAATGCTCTTTTCTTTTGGGGAGGAGTAGTGGAAGTGGGAGCTACCCAAAAGCCCACATGACGCACATTCAGATACCCATTTTTGACAATATATTATATATAATAATAATAACATTATTCCATTAAAGCAAAGCATGCATATATATATGGAACCTGGTTCTGGTTCTGGTTCTGGTTCTTGGTCAGGAATGTTACCTTTGTCACTGTAAAAGTTTCACCCAGCCGTCCTCGTGGCATCATATGTTATTCCTCTGCCTGTTGTCCAAAGTAATCCACTGTTTTTCATGAGTTTGGATTATGTGTGACAGCACGTTGCCCACTTCCACATGTACATATGTGCTCTTCCCTATGCCTATGTAGATAAGAATCTTCAATTCAATACATTCTCTTGCAAAGAATCATTTTACCCATTTGCCAAATCACTTAACTATTGGTTTTTCCATGATTCCAAATTTCTCTTCCATTATGGACGTTGTGGAAAAAACAAGGTTTAAATTCTATTTTGATTCCTCTATTTTAACAAAAAAAATTATTTTTAATTTTTTAAAAATTAGTTTTTTAGTTTATAAAGTTTAAAATTTGACATTTTTTCAATCTCTTTATTATTTTTTACACATATGACACCTTAGATAATGAAAATTCTAAAATATTGATTAAAATGACAAAAAAAAATGTCTTTTTTTGTCTCTTTACTTAAAAAAACCTAACTTTGGTCTTTCCACTTAAAAAAAAAAACCCATTTTTAATCTTTCTACTTTAAAATTTCTGTTATCTAATATAATATTTATACAAAAAGATAAGAGAGAGGCTAAAAAGAGAGTCAAATTTTAAATTTTAAAAACCAAATTGAGATTTTTTTGACTAGAAGGATTAAATTTTTTTTATTAAAATAGAGTGACCAAAAAAGAGTTTTAATAAAAAAAAAAACAATAATTTCTCTGATCTTTCACTTGGGGGCACATATATTCCAATCACATATATGTTGAATCACAAAAGTTATTGAAACCAAAGTCTTAGTATTAATCATCCTTTTCCCTTGTCCTTTGAAACTTTAGGGTTTTTACTGGCAGTGGGATTTCTCTTTCAGGTCCTTTTTTGGTTTGTAGAGCCACATTTCCTTCCCTTCCCCACTGCTTCCCTTCCCCACTACTTCCCTTCCCTTTCCTACTGCATATCCTTGATTCCTCTTCCTTCGATTTCCCTCTTGCTTTGTTTGCAATACTCTAACACAGGGGCACGGCCTTGGATACCAAGGACTGCAGATCTGGTCCTGGGTGTCGTTTTAATCTCCTTGCTATTGGTGGTTGTGTGGGTGTGTGATCCGAATGGCAGAGGAAGAACTTGGATCTATGCTTAATCGGGTCTATCTCACAGAAGATGAGGACGGTATCCTTCCTTTGCATTCGCTCCGGAAACCTGATGAACCCAAGGTAGGAAATCTACGATTAGTGGGGAAGATGCTATCCTGAAAAAAGACCAATATGAATGGGCTTCATGATGCGCTAATGGTTGCTTGGAACACTAGGAAGGCTTTTATAATTTCTTAAATTGATGACAAAATTTATCTGTTTCAATTTTTTGAAATTGGGGATCTCAACAAGGCTCTTCACAGAGGACCTTGGAACTTTAGTAATTCACTACTAATTTTTAAACGGTTTCAAGCCTCTTTAACAGCGGAGCAGTAGAATCTTTCTACAAATCCTTTTTGGGTTTGAATCTTTGATGTTCCTATTGGTATGCAGTCAGAGCAAATTGGACTCATAATTGGGAACTCTTTGGGGAAGGTTTTGGAATTTGATGACAGTTTTCACAAGGCAATTAGAGTTCGAATTAATTTGGATGTGAATCATCCTTTAAGAAGATTTAAAACTTCTCAGATCTCGATTACAAAACGCAAGAAACTTCGAATCAAATACGAACGGCTTCCAGAATTTTGTTTTGTCTGTGGCTGCTTAGGACACCTTGATCATAGCTGTGAAATTACCAATAGTATGAAAGATGGTGGAGGTAAAATTGTTTGTCGATATGGATCGTGGTTAAAGGTTGAATTAGAACACTCAAGGTGCCCAGATGATCTTGATCTATTAGATGAAACCTTTATTGTAAATACACAGTATATAGTTGGCAACAAGATGGTAGGAAACTAGGAGCGTTATGAGACTATTGTTAATGGAGCAAGCCAGGTAGAGGGACACAATGATAATGTTGCTGGAGATCTCGAGGCAAACGCAAGCCAAATGGCAGGGCACCATGCTAATGGTGTGGGAGAAATTGCGGATGAAACAGCTCAACCCCTTACTTCTATTATAAGAGAAATGGCTTTG